CCCCCAGAGGTCGTCTGAAGCCTGAGGGTGCCACGTGACCTACATGAGGAGACCCAAAAAAGATCCCTGGGGTGCAAGTGTTAGGCAGGAAGCTCGAAATTAGCCTACACGTGTGGGAGGGACCTAAGGCAAGCACAGCTAGCAAGCATCCTAGTGTCTGACACGCCCAGTCCTGCCCAGACCCAGTAACTTCACACTTGGTCCAGTTTCCCACCCACAGCCTGGCCAAAGTTCCCCAAGAGAATCCTCTTTACTCAGCAGCAAACTGGCCATGCAGCCTGGTAACTTTGCTGGCTGTCCCGAGGAAAGGCCCGGGGCCCCATTCAAGGTGGGCTACCCAGTCTGATAGCCCCAAGTACTGAAACCTGCGTAGGAATGTTACCTAATTCACACTAGGCAAAGCCTGTGTCTAGGAGCAGAACAAGGCGGGAAGGAGAAACGGAGACAAAAACCAGACCTTACTCCCTAAGAAGCTCCAGTCCGGACACAGACTGCCCTTGGCTCTCAGCTCCTCCCTGAGCTGCCTGCCTGGCCTGCCAGGTGTTCCCTCCTCTCCTTGCCTTCCCCGTCTCAGTGCAGGCTCTTTTGGATCTTGACAGATCTCCTACCCCATCAAGCCTTGCTCCCTTGGCTGCCCAGGGTTGTGCGGCTGAGGAGCCCATCCCACCTGCCTTCTCCCAGAGCCCCTGCGTTTAGTCCTGTTCTCTTGGCTCCACTGAGACCTGGAGAAGCGTGTATCACTTAGGTGAGCCTGCACGCAATGTGCACACCTGCTGCTCCGCACCCACGCCCAGGAAGCCACGGGCAGCAAACAGGCCGCCCCTTCTCTCACTCACTCACCTCTTCCTTCTTTCTTTGCCCACTCACGAATCCAATCACACTCTGTACTCTTTTGTGCCTGCCTTCGCGTGACCAACAGTGATTCATGGCATCTTTTTATGTCACCTGAGTGTAGTGTTTCGTGGGGGGGTGTGCAAAAGGACACCTGATGGTGCAGGGCAGGCGGGTGGCTTCCGGGGGAGCGCAACAGCCCTGCACTCCCCAGTGCTCTCCACAGCTTCCAAACCTACTAACCACCTCCTTGCGCCTGTGCTCGCAAGGGAAAAAACGGGGTCTCAGGATACCCACAGGTCGAGCTTGTGGCAGCTTCCCCAAGATGGTGCCTCACACTTTCATCAGTTCTGGTCCAGCCCTCTCCTAGTGAGGTCTTCAAGCCTGCCGTGCTCTGCACTGGCGTGTCTCTCTCTCTCTCTCTCTCTCAAAGCAGTCTGGCATGCGGATATTTGCCCAAGGAAGTCTGCCCATCACGCACAAAAGGCCTCACCGGTGGAGACCGGCACTGAGGTTAACAGGTAAGTCCTGAAGTCCGGGCCAGGGACAGCAGGGACGCTGGCTGACCGGGAGGGCTGGCGCAGTTAGAGTAATGTGGCGACCACGTCCCCACCCGACCCCTTCAGCAGGGGCTTTTCAGAGTCGACTAATAGGAACGGAAGCACCACCAGAACTGTCTAACCCCCCCCCCCCATATCCCGAAGGGGAGAAGCGCCCACTCACCCCGCTCCGGGTGGCACAGTGTGGGGCGCACAGGGACCCCACACGCTCCCCGACTGCACCAGCAGGATCAACTCCCATTTGGCAGGGCCCGCATCGCAAGCGGAGCAGCTTTCCTCTCCCAGCCTGGGTCCGCACCGCCCACCCACGCCCTCCTCCGTGGCCTTGCCGGCCGCGCTGCGCACCCCCGAAGGCAGCGACGCGGCCCGCTCTCCCCACCCGAGGCACCGAGCCGCCCATCCGTCCACGCTGGCAGGCCCGCGGGCTGAGCGCGTCACGACCCCCGCGCCCCTCGGGCCAGCTCCGAAGCCCCGGCGTTGGCCAGTGTGGGCTGGAAAGGACAGCTCCAAGCCGGGGACCCCGCGCCGCGCTCCCCGCAAGCCCACCCTGCGGCTTCCGCCAGGCTGGCGGCTCACAAAGCGCCGAGTCCGGGCGCAAGCCCCTCCTGAGCGGAGTCCGGCTGCGGCCCACGCCAAGCGGGATTCCGTGGGCAGCGCGCTCGCTCCTGTGTGCGAACGTGGCCACGCCGGGCCCCCAGTGCTTGTGTCCCCGTGAGCGAGGCCGGGCGACGCCGAGGCTGCTGGCCTCCCGGTGGTGACCCGCGGGACCCGGGCGCGGCTGGCCCCTCCAAAGCAGCTGGCCGCGTCCGCAGGCCCGAGCGCGACTCCCGGGGGTCGGGGCCGGGGGCCGCCCCTCAGGCCTCGGGGGCGCCGACACCGTGCCCCAGGCTGGCGGGGACCTTACCTGCGAGGTCCGGGTCTGCGTTCCGGCCGCCGAGGAGGGCGTGGTGGGGAGGCCCGTGAGGGAGCCCCCCGTTAGAGGAGGGCGGCTGGGCTCCCCGGGGCTGCTCGGGCTGGGGCGGCGCTCAAGCCGCTCTTCCCGGCGCCCCGCGCGCGCGGCCCGGCCAGGTGCGCGCGGTACCGACGCAGCGGTGTGAGAGCGTGGAGTTAAAAAACAACAAACAAAAAGCCCGCCCGAGGCCCGGCTTGTTGGGGGGGCGTGAGTCGTGCGGCCGCTTTCTAGGATAGGGACCCAGGAGACAGCGCCTAGTACCTTCAAATTCACACGGGACTTGTAAAAGACCCCGAGACAACCGGGGAGACGAATGTAAAATTTGTTTTCTTAAGTGGCCGACTTACCGTTCCATTGCCTTTGCCTGTTCTAATTTAGAAAACTGATTTCACGTGGCAAATGTTAGCATGCGAACCCAGCTGCGCCGCCAGAAACTGGGCACTGAGTCAACAACCAGCTTCCTCCCAAACATACGTGTGTGTGTGTGTGTGTGTATGAATATTATTCATGTTGGAGGAGAGGTACATTTACAAAGTTATACTGGCTGTAAAGGGACTCATCAGAAACACCACCACCACATGTGCTCATCAAGCAAATTGGAAAATCCCCGATGCAAAAACCACGGCTTCTGAGCTACTCCTCAGCGAATGCAAAGGATGACAAGTGGCAGTGCTTCATACAACTAGATTTAATAAGTTGTTGTTACAGAAAAAAAGGAAAACTGAAGTTCAAACTACAAAGTTTCAGCAGTTGTAAGCAATAGCTGCATTGAAGCTCCATGTTTAGTCACAGGACTGTAGTTCCGTACAAGCAGTATGAGTCCAGGCCCAGTGGCAGAAGCTGGGTGAGGGTTACTAGCAAAAACAATCTAAGAGAACAGGTAATCAAAGATACAATCCGTTTAAAATTAGTTGTTAGTTGGAAAACAAATACAGAGATCTTAGCTATGAACACTCTAAAAGTTATGTCCATTATTTTTTGACAGCAAAAATACAAATACCTAATACTTTATACCCCAACAGAACTACAGCCAGGAAAGAAAAAGAGCACAAATGATTCCACAGTAGCACCCGAGAAGTTTTCTACTTGTGGCAATTCACGTCACTGCCATACAAATTTAAACACCCCTCCCCCACAACCCGATCCCGTAGCTGCTTTGTGACCCATTTTGGGGTATAAAGTCAACAGCATTAATTATAAGATACTCTGTGGTAAGATGGAACACTATTGCAGCAGATATATAGAAGTGTGGTTATTATGAAAAGAAAAAAAGAAACAAACAAATGTTAGTTGACAAACCATACAAACCAGTGAAAAAGCAACAATTGGTACAAATAAGCCAGTTTTAACAAAAGATACTTTTTTTTTTTCACTAATCTGTGACTAATCTTTCACTCAAACCTTGCAAGTAGAGATGTCACAATACTCAAATATTTAGGTAGGAGCTTTACCCAGTTAAATGCCATTTTGTTGCTAATATAATAGGTAAAATGAAAACTAGCAGTTATTTGCTAATTGCATAAATGCAGTACATTCTGCATTAGCCCATGCCTCACTAACAAGCTATAAAACACAAGATATAGGCAGAAATCTAAGCATAATCTTTTATACCACTAAGCAAGAATTTTCCAATATCTTTTCTTCAGTTCCTAATCATTTATTTGTAGTTAATGTAAAATTCCAACCAGTAGGACCCAATTTGAGTTAAAATTTTACATCACAACTTGATCTAATCTATATAGTATTTACAAAACTGAATACAGAGAGCGTACCCAAGAGCCAACTCCGGACTCAACGTTTCTGCAAGTTATTGATGAGCCTCGTCTCCATGGTAATGGAACCACAAGAGGCCATCAGGGACTGGTAGAAACACGCCATCTTTCTAGAGCAAGTCATTGGATGTTCTGTTTATGCAACACCAGTTTTGCAGTTGTAGGGTTTCTGTGTTTCAATGTTCGGTACCACTGCAATGACACACTGCGGTAACAGCGTGGCTTCCAGGTGAGGTGGGATGGGGTGGGCCGCAAAGAAGCAGGAAGGCAGACAGATCATGCGTGGAGGGAGCAGGAAGTGTTGCCGCAACCAAAGGCAAATGAAGGAGGTTGTACCATGACAGGGAGAGCAGGCAGGGGTGTGGAGGAAGAGGCAGCGCGACACCTAGAGTGTCCATGTACAGTGGTGACATCCGAGTGCGTCTCCTCAGTGCCACCCCCTGAGCCCTCCCAGGAGGTGGCCCAGTTGAGACCTGGGAGTGGAAATCTACATTCCAGGCCATTTGTCCTGGCTCCAAGACATCACCACTGTAGATGCAGGTGAAGGTTCAGGAGCGGACACCATCTCACACATGGACAGCCGCTGGTGGCAGAGTCTCACTCACACACACACAAATGTGCACACACACACACACACACACACACACACACACACAGGACATAATAAAGAGTTAGAGGGGAAAAGCAATGAGCCATTCTGCTGACCTAGCCAGGCTGTAACCTGGTGGGATTTCAGTAGGGGTGACTTGGTTATTGGGGCCACGGACTTGGCTGCACCTGGTGTTGTAGAAATGCGTGGTGACATCCCTAGAGAACTGTACTGTGACATCCCTAGTCTTATGCTGAGCCGCTGTCATAAAGGAAAAGGCTTTTCAAAATCTCACATGTTGTGCTCATTCTGCCATTTTATTACCCAATTCTCCAAGACATTTCCAATCACTTTACATAACCAACCATTTTCACCGTTGTCACACTATTGTAAACCACATCAGCAAGTTAATACATAAAGCTTTGCATTTCAAAAAACTAGACACTTTAGTAACAATATTACAAAGGTTTTAGCTTCAAAAATAACTGAAAATGAAAAAAATAAACTTTTAAAGAATTAGCATCATAAAATTAATTTATTCCAAGTAAAAATAGAAAATAATATTATGACATTGACCAGATATGAAAGTCCCTCCCAGAAACAACTCTATTAATGATTGAGAAAGCACTCCTTAAAGAAAATACGAAATAAAATGAAAAATATGTAAATATGTTTAATTTTTTTCTTAGCAAAAAATCTTTCTAAAAATAACAATGAAAATTTCTCAGTACAAAGGCTACATTACTATTGAAAAAATACCAGCATGAAGAAAAGGTACATATCTGACAGTAGAAAAATGATCTCAGTGAATCACAATGTCTAAAGTTTGCAATGAAAATAAATCTGCAATAAAGATTTATGCCTTTTTTCTTTTCTTTTTTTTTTCTATTTTTTATACAAACAGTACAAACAGTATTGCACATAACAACAAATAGTCGAGGTTAGGTTATAGCCTTCAAAAAATCGACTAGTTCAAGTGTCACATCAAGGAAAGGCCACAGCAGGCCCTGTGTTACCCAGGGGCTTCCCAGTCAAGTTGCAGGTCAGAACACCTCTGTGTTTTTAAAAAATAATGTTTTTGAAGGACCCTCTCTTTTAATATAACATTAAGAACTTGGGGGGGGGCACATTTATTTACAAAACAAAAGGGAACATGTCATAATTTAATAAACTAAAAAAGTTCTCTTTAAAAAAATACAAACAGAAGAACTCTTTCACAATCCTGGTCAGTCGTGCACAATCAGCGCTTGATTATAAATATACAAATTAAGGGGAGGAGTTTCCACCAGCTAGTCGCAACTTCCAGCACCAAATGGAGTTGATTTTGTGTAACCTATTCTTCACGACAATGTTGGTTTGTTTTGCCTTCGCGTTAGCTTTATGCTGTACAATCTCCAGCTTTTTCTTAAAATCTCAGTGTTATTTTAGTACATGAAAGAGGGGGTGCTTCTTCAAAAAGTTTTGCTTGTTTCACATAATTAGGTAGGTTTCTGTAGGTTAGATAAGATCTTTAATATTATAGTTATAAAGCTCTAACTTCTTCATTTTCCAAAAAACACAAATAAGCATGAAAAAAATAAAGTTACCCATCTGTTAAATCATTTTCTTGCAGAATTAAATTAATATATATTTTTTTCTGAATAAACTTACTTAGAAAATATCATTTTCTTTCCTATATTTCAAAATTGAGGTATTGCAAAAGATCATGTCAGTCAGAAAGCATGCCTTTTTCCTTAAAAACAAACAAACAAAAAAACTTTAGCCAACTTTTGAAAACTATCTAGAATACAAAAAGTAGTAGTGCATGACAAAATTTCTTGTACAGATGAAAAAGAAAATCACAAACATAGGAAAAAGAGAGAGAGAGAGGAGAGACAAACAAACAAAACCATACCTGGGCTGGAAAAAAAGCAATTATTACCCAAAAAAAGCCCAGAGGTAACATCCAAAGGAGGGGGGAGGGGGATTCTAATAAGGATTTTAATCCAGTAAAAAACTACTTTGTTTTTCATTTTTTTTTTTAAAACAAACTCTAGCTTGAGAGCCAGTAATTGCAACTCAACACTGGAGAAAGCAAAATCGAAGCACGCAATACTGACTTAAGACAGCACAAGGACATCACAGCACGTTACACAGCGACTGAGGTCTATTCTGCAGTGTCATATCCAGTCAGATTGTCCCCAGAATTCCAAAACATAGGAAGAAGATTAAAAACAAACAAAAGACTTACGTAGTCTAGCAATCACTGTGTGTTTTTCTATATATTACTATCTGCAGCCCAAGAGTGAATGCTAAAAAAATGTCCACGATAAGTAATAGCAGGTCTTAATTCTATTCAAGCTTTACAGGATAAATCCAGGGAATTAAGTAGTAACTTCTCACCCAGACAACCAACTCTGCCCAGGCCATCTTCTTTAGTGCAGACATTTCTTTAGCATCACTGTCACACGACTTTCTTACAAATGTGCCTAGTTTGTCAATCTGACAACTTATCACTATATACTGTATAGATTCTTAGTGTCTGTAAGCTAAGATGAGCTCTTTGGTTTTTTTTTTGGACAAGGTCTGAAGCTAATGTGAAAATGGTGCGAGCACTAGGAGATTGGAACTAAGAGCTCATGTGTTACTTACTAATATACCAGTTATGAACTGTCAAGTTTGTTAATGTCTGACACAGAGGCTTTAAACAGGTAAGTTTGATCACAGTTAGACATAATCACTTTACTATATAAAATAAATTGCACAATATATAACAGAGCACCGCAAAGTACTTCATCTACCATCCACAAATTTGCTTTACAAATATCCTACACCTAGGTTGTATATTGGTTGTAATATAGGTCATTCGGTTATGGGCTCTTCCCATCCCGAAGCATTCCGTTTATCGAGGCATGCCTTCCTCCAATCAATTACCAATTATTTGAGTGAAAAAAAAAATCTCTTAAAAAATGAGTATTTTATAGCTTATATAGATTCTTAATTTGTGCATTGTGGGAAGGTTTTCTACTAGACATTGGATATAAAATTTATTGCATGCAGCAACCTGATTAAGTAAACATGCAGTCAGAGATGGTGACCTTCCGTTGACGCTTCCTGAGGTCTATGCTGATCTCTTTCTGGCAGCTGACAGTATCCCTAAATCACAAAAGTGTGTTGTTGGGTTTTTTGTTCCAATTGATACTTTAGCCTGAATAGAGTATTATGGTATTAATAATACCATTTTCATAGCAGCAAAAGCTATTGCAGCATAAATTTACATAACACTAAAAGAGCTAACAAAAATCCTCAGCAAAACAAAAATCAAACATGAAGGAAAAAAAAAAAAGATCCAGCTTATGAGGTATCCTTAACACATCAAAATAGAGAGCAACTAAAGGTTCGTCTTCGTGAAGGGTTTTCCTTAACTCTAAATGACCTCAACTAATAACCGCTGAATTGTTGTGAAATTTTTGCTACATCTGCCACCTACTTACGAATATTACCTTTGGTAAGTCTCGTCCTAGGGTCAACTCTCTATGTTTCTGAAAATAAGTGCATGCTCCAGTTTAGAAACAATCAGAACAACAACACAACGACAAACAAGAGTCCCAGACATCAACCTGCTGGCCGCTGCTGGGGAGCGCAGACTACACACTGTCACGGCTGACAGATCATGTGTAAGAAATCAAGGTACCAAGCAGACAAAAGTTTTGAACCAAAGTGCAAATCAGTACCGTTATACACTCTGCAATTTTGCATTATACTGGACACTGAGTTCAGTAATATGACTGTAAATAATAATAATAATTAATAATAATAATAATAATAAAAAGACCCATTTCTTCTTTAAAAATCGAGAACGAATGCACAGATTTCCAGAACACTGTAAGCCCTGAGGCCGTGCCCTCTCTTTTCCCTCCTTGTTATCTACTCCAGTACTTGTGGCTGGCTTGGCCCTGGGCTCAGCTCCAGCGGAACGGGACGTGACGAGGGCGGTCGCCTCCCTCCTTCACCAGTGGTTTGTGGAACTCCCGCCCGGCACGGGAGTGGATGCTCGCCCAGCAGTACTCGCAGTAATACTGCAGACAGGTGACGTTGGCACAGAAGAACGGGGCAAACTTCCCCCCACAGCGCGTGCCCTGGCACTCGTCACACATCTGGTCATCCAGCACGTATGGCTTCACTTCCACCTGGGCCCAAAGAAGACAGAGAGAGAGAGAGAGAGAGAGAGAAGAAAAAAGAAGGAAAACAAAAACAACAAAAACAAAGGTTTAGCAAAGCTTCTCACCATTTCTCACATTCCAGAGTTGATTGTCAATTTCAGTATGTCCATGCCGAGACGTGCTCGGTGGAAGAATCAGCTGTGTCATCCTCTGGTTGTGTGATTTCGGCACACACCTGGCCTGTCTCTCAGCCCCTGTCTACTGCACCTGACTGGCTGGAACATGTGTCTCACATTGCACACACACGCTGATGGACTGGCAAACTGGCAGCATGTGCATCCAGCGGGCAGCTGAGGACGAAGGCAGGAGCTGGGCTGGGGAGCCTGGTGTCAGCTGAAGGCAGCCCAGCAGCTGGACTCGCCGTCAGCAGCCAGGGAGGACCAGGGCTCCTGAGCAGGAAAGGACAGGGCACACCCTTGGACAATACTTTCCCAGGAGCCAGGATTTCAAAAAGGAATGCTGTGCCTGGGGAAAGGCAGGCGGGGGGGGGGGCGGTGTGCAGGATCTGCTCCAGCAATGGAAGCCGTTTTGCTTTCTGGACAATCTCTGTCACCCTCCATTGTCCCCCAAGACTGAAAGCTGAGATACAGGGGGACTTCTCATCAGAGCCATGTAAGGACCACATGAAAATCCACACAGGGCAAAGTGGTAAAGAATAACAAATTCCCACATCTCAACACACAGCATTTTCTCAGAAGCTTAAAGGAACATCTTCATAGACCTTAATATTTTCATCCCACATGGAAATGATGTCCCCAGCCATGGCCAGGACCACTGTGGGGAAGGGCAGTGCCGTGGCTAGGAGACAAAGACCCACTGCCTTCTGGGGTGAACTGACTGGCTAATCAGGAAGGTCCTCGCTGGGCACGTCAGGGCGAGCGATGGCACCTGGCACTTTCTCGCCTTTCCTTTTCTCTGTCCCTGTCAAGAGTTTCACCTCTAGCCATATGCACTAGTCAACCACTCCACCTGCCAGCTGGGTCTCCTGGGAAGCTGCTCCAAATCCCCAGGCTGCTCCTAGCACTTGCTTGGGGGGTAAGGGAAGTTGGGAGTGAAGTGGGATGCCTTTGCTTGGGCTTTATTGCCCCCTTTGTCTGAAAGCTCCTCCTCAAAAGCACAAGTCCGTTTGTGGGCTTCAAGAACTCTTACATTCATCCCTGTGTCATAATTCAATCTTTGCTGTGTCTGGAGTCATTCAGCCATGTCACCGAATGTGCAAATTTTGGCAACTTCTCCAGTATTTCTGAGCCCCGGTTTCCTTACCTGTGCACAGGGGCAAGAAGGAGTGTCTATTTCATAGGTCCCTGTGAAGAGCATACGAGTTAAATCCTGGCATGCAGTGTCTAGCACATCAGGAGCACTTGGCAAAGAAATGACCCCTTCTGCCTCTCCTTTCGTCCACATCTTTGCAGCTTGTGAGGGGTCACGCTCGGTGCCTACAGCCTTCACACTGGCCACTTCTACTAACGGGTTGACATTTCAGTAATCCATGTCTGTGAGGTTCCTCTCCTGTTCAAAAGCCACCTCGTGTCTACTCAGCCCACAGGCTGAGTCCTGCTGCTTCAGGAGAACGGCAATTTGTCTCTTAAGTCAAATCCAAGTGCCAGCTTGCATGATTTACCTAGTCTTTCTCTCAACAACTCCCTAACTCAACCTAGAACAGGTCTCTATTTTCACACATACTGTCTTCTCATCTACATGCCTTCCTTAGCCTCTCATTCAGCTCAAACGATTCAGTTTTCTTTTTTTCTTTCTTTCCTTGCCTCAAATTAACTATTTAAAAGTGAGCAGTTTAGCGGTATTTAATGCACGCACTCTGTGGGCAATGAGCATCTTTATCTAGTTCCAAAGCATTCTCAGCACCTCAGAAAAAAGCCCTGTGGCCACTAGGCAAGTCAGTCGGGTCCACCTGCAGCCCCTGGCAATGCTCAAGTCCGCTTTTCAGCCCTACGGCTTTACCTGCTCTGGATAAGAAAAGAAATGAAATCACACGAAACCTGCAATGCCTGGCTTTTTCCCTTTATCATCATATTTCGAGGTCCTACCACACTAGTGCATGCAGCCGTATCCCACTCCTTTTATGCCTAAATAACATCCCACACCATGGTTTCTTTTAACTACGGGCATACTTCATCCATATTCCTTATCCATTCCCTCACTGAATGGTGCTTCTACAAACGGGTACACACGTATGTTTGAGTTCCGAGTTTCAATTATTTTGGAGTGGAATTCAACCTTTCCAGAAACTGTCAAATAGTCTTCCACGCTAGCTGTGCCACTGGCCAAGTTCTAGCGTCACTGTTATGACACAGTCATCCTCGTGGGAGGGAAGCAGTGACCTTACTGTGGCTTTCATTGGTACTTGTCTACACACTCGCGGCGGTGAGCATCTTCTCAGGTGCTTGTAGGCTATCCATGTACCTCCCAGGCAGAAACACCTGTTCAAATTCTTTGTTTGTTTTTCAGTTGGGCTGTCTTTTTGTTGTTAAGCTGTTTTTTTTTTTTTTAAAAGATTCATTTATCTTTATCAGGAAGTGAGATATACAGAGAGGAGGATACACAGAGAGGAAGATCTCGCTTCTGCTGATTCATTCTCCCAGTGGCCGCAATGGCCGGAGCTAAGCTGATCTGAAGGCAAGAGCCAGGAGCTTCTTCTGGATCTCCCACATGGGTGCAGGGTTCCAAGGCTTTGAGCTGTCCTCAACTATTTTCCCAGGCTACAAGCAGGAAAACTAGACGGGGAAGTGTAGCAGCTAGGACATGAACTGGCATTCATATGGGATCCCGGTGCTTGCAAAGCGAGTACTTTAGCTGCTAGGTTACTGTACTGGGCCCTTTGTTGTTAAGCTGTATGAGTTCTTTACATATTCTGGATAGCATACCATAGATATATGATTTGCAAACATCTTCTCCTAATTTGTTAGACTGCATTTTTACTTTCTTGATAATGTCCTTTGGCATCCTAAAGTTTTAAACTTCTATAGCCCCCCTCCTTTTTTTCTTTCGTGACTCCCTGATTGATGTCGAGGAATCCACTTCCAAATCCATTCCAAGGTCATGAACATCTTAAATCTTCATTTTTTTTTTTTTTACTTATTTCATTTGAAAGGCAGAGAGACAGAAGGACAGACCCAGAGGGAGAGATCTCTCCATGTGTTCATTCCTCAAACGCCTGCAATGGACAGGGCTAGGGTCAGGTTAGAGCCAGAAAACTCGAATTCAATACTCTTCTCCCACATGAGTGACGGGGGCAACACCTGCTGCCTTCAAAGGTGCACATTAGTTGAGGCAGGAATCAGGAGCAGAGCTGAGACGTGAGCCTAGATGCTTGGGTAGGAAATATGGGATGCGCTACTGCCGTAACCACTGCACCCAAGGCGCACTCTGGGAGAGTCAGTCACGCCCACGTTTTCTTTCAAGAGTGTAGCAGTTTTAGCTCCTATACTAGGTTGCTGACCTATTCAGGGTAACTTCAGGATGGAGTGTGAAGCCAGGACCTCCCCTCCACCTTCATTGTTTCGCAGTTGAATGTCCCAGCTGTCCCGCCGATGGAGAAGAGACTGTTCTTCAGCCACTAGAGTGTCTTGGCAGTGCTGGTGAAAATCAATTAGAAGCCCAGGTTTCCCTAACTCTTTCATCTTTCTAAAGATTTACTTTATTTTTTTAATTGAAAGGAAGAGTTACAGAGAAGAGGAGATACAGACAGAAAGGGGGGAGAGGAGAGAGAAAGAGAGAGGCGAGAAAGAGAGAGAGGGGGAGAAGACAGAGAGAAGTCTTCCATTCATGAATTCACTGCAATGGCCGGATCTGAGCAGATCCAAAGCCAGGAGCCAGGAGCCTCTTCCAGGTCTCCCACATGGATGCAGGAGTCCAAAAATTTGAGCCATCCTCTGCTGCTTTCCCAGGCCATAACAGAGGCTGGATCAAGTGGATCAGAGCAGGTGCCCATATGGGATGCTGGTATGACAGACAGAAGTTTAACCTACCACACCAAGGCGCCTGCCACTTCCCTGCTATTTCAGTCCCACGGGCATCCAGTCCACCCTCATTTGATCTTAGTATTCCAAATTGCTCATCTGACATTTCCTAAATATGGTCCTGCCTCGGTCAGCATTTCTTCTTAGCTGCAAGCAACCTGAGGCGCAGGCCATGGGGCAAGACAGGACTGCGCCGAGACTGGGAAAGAATGCGCTCAGTAGAGACTGGCAGAGTCCTGGGGAAGGGAGCTGTGGAGAGGAACAGTGTGTCTGGTCTGGCCTCTTCCACCCGCATCTCAGCAGAGGACAGAGGACTGCTGGCAGAGGCAGGGCACAAGGGGCACTTGCTGCAAGCATGGCTCACATTTCCTGCTGGGAGCTAAAGATGGTTTTGCATCCAGCACTAGGTAATTACCAATACGCAGGCTGTCCCAGGAACCATGCTGCACCCCAGCAAGCTCCGTACAGGGGATTCAGCCACCAGAGAGCAGGCGGATGTGAACAAACAGAAGCCATGCCGAAGAGATACGTGCATGATGGCTCAATCGGATAATTCTCCGCCTACAAGTGCTGGGATCCCATATGAGTGCCAGTTTGTGTCCTGCGTGCTCGACTTCTCATTCGGTTCCCTGTTTATAGCTTCGGAAAGCAGCAGTTTAGTTCAAGCCCTGCACCCACGTGGGAGACCTAGAAGAAGCTACTGGCTCCTGGCTTCAGATCAGCTCAGCTTCGGCCACTGCAACCATTTGGGGAGTCAACCAGCAGACAGAAGAATCCTCTGTCTCTGTTGATCTGCTTTTCCAATTTAAAAAAATGAATATAAAAAACTCATAGGAAGGTGCTGGCGGTTACAAATAATAGCTGCTTATAACATATATAAGTATGAAAAGAGTACTTAGATAGATTCAAATCCTGCACAAAAAAAATGACTCTCTGCTAATGTTAACAGATGAGCCAAATGGTCCCTTTTGTTTAGGCAGTAAAATGAGG